TGTTACACAAATTATTACGATGGAGGCAAACTGGGTGAAGGCTGTGGGAGACCTCTTGTACTTTTTTTTTTTTTTGCAATTTCCTGTGAATTTATAATTATTTCCAAATAAAAATTTAAAAACAAAAAAGACAAATTCCCCCACTGAAATCCAACAGCTAAACGTTCATACAACTCTAAACCAAGGCCATAATTTTATTAGGCCCCTTAAGCAACAAGAAATCATTGAAAACTAGGCAGGATTTAAGGCACCACTAGCCAGGAGAGAAGCCTCTTATCCTAAGAAGGATGCTCTAGAACAGCAATCACAGGCTAACAACCTGTAGAAGGTTTACCCGCAGCAATAGTTCAGCCCACACAGGGTTTTTATTGTGGTGAAGTACACACACATAAAATTAAACTGACCGTTTTAAGTGTTCGATTCAGTGGCATTAAGTGTATGCACACTGTTGTGCAACCATCACCACTATCCATTTCCAGAACGTTTTCACCATCCCAAAGTGAAACTCGGTACCCATTAAACATCAACTCCCCGTTCCTTCTTCCCCCCAGTCCCTGGTGACCACCATTCTACTTTCTGCCTCTATGAATTGTTTCCAGATCCACACAATATTTTTAAAGTTCCTGAAGTTGAAAACATTTAAAAGATCTCCTGGGGGGCCGGCCCGGTGGTGCACTGCTACAGTGCGCCGCTTGGGAGCACAGCGGCGCTCCCGCCGAGGGTTTGGATCTCACATACAGACCAGCCGCTCACTGGCTGAGCGAGGGGTGGGAGCAACGCCGAGGGTTGCGATCCCGTGGCCGGTCCTGGTCCAGTATGGGCGCGACACTGAGGGTTGCGATCCGTTGCTGGTCACGAAAAAAGACAAAAAGGAAAAAAAAATATTATGAAGATATCAGTTATTCCTAAATGAAGACAGAGATTTGATTTATTCTTATGAAAATATCAATGGTTAGGTTCTGAAGTTTTGGAGAATTATAGGGGTGCATATAAACACATATATACACATATATTCTAAAAACTAGTTGGAGAGTTTATGAGTGGCAAACTCTGTAAAGTGGTTAAACATCCTACAATTAGTTTCATTAGGATAGTGTGATATCATAAGATTAGTCAGGCTGATAATGATACAGAATACATAGCCACTAAAATAGACATTACTTTTAATGATTTGATATATTAATCAATGGCAAATGGAAGGAATTAACTAGCTATTTAGAGAAAGAAAAAGAAAAATGACCATTATACATCAAATGAATAAATTCCAAATGGATTAAAGCAGGAGTTGGTAGATTATCAGTGGGGCCAAATCCAGCCCACCCTCTTTTTTGGTTTTATTTTTTCACCCATTGCTTGTGTAAAAGTTTATTGGAGCATTGAACATTCATTCAGTCATTTACATGTTGTATATGGGTGCTTTTGCTCTACCAGGGCAGAGTTGAGTAGTTGTGACAGAGACCAAATGACCTACAGAGTTGAAAATATTACTACCCGGCCCTTTGCAGTAAAGTTTGCTGACCCCTGGATTAAAGGACTGTATTATAAACAATGAAACCATATTCTTATTATTTTATTGTGGAAGTAGAACTTTGTAACAGATAGAAGAAATCACAAAGGTAAAGATTGTCAGATTTTTGGCATAAAAATGGAAACTTCAGTACATAAAATTTTTAACTTAAAGTACATATTGAGGAAATTTGATAAATTCTGTTATATTATAATGCACTTTTGTAAATGAACATTAAGAAAAGAACTGCAAGTTGAAACAAGTGAAAAAGGCTTTTAAGTGGCTTTTTTTTCCCATAAATTGCTGGAGTAAATATAATTAACAACAGTTTTTTGGGGGGGAAACAATCTTTCATTATGTATCAAAAACCTTTACTATATACCATTTTACATTGCAATTCCACTTGAAGAATCCATTCCTTAGGGATGATCCTAAATATGGTAGTATGAGTGTTCACAGAGATATTCATCATGGCATTGCTGATTATGTTAAATGTATGGAAACAGTAAGGGGACCAACATTGGGTTGTGGCTATATAATCTCAGTGCCATTCTGGAGCCTGAGGCAAAAGGAAAGAATCAGTAATAGTAACCCTGTCTTTGTTTAAAGTTTTTGTATTTCGTTCATCGTGGATTTTTGCAAATTTTGATTTTTAAATATACTGCATTAAGATATTATCTCAATTACTGAAGTTTTTGGTGCCTCATTAATTTAGTATTTCTCAAATTTGAGTGATGTACCAACACCCCCAATACAGAAACGGAGGTTTTTTTTGAGATGCCCCAGAATTCCAAGAATAAGGGGTCTTGTAGGGTTTTGCAAGTTTCATTATGATAAATGATGTATTAAAGTAAAAGTTAAATCTATCATTTAATGGCTTCACGATGCAATAACATAATTGTAAAAGCAAACAACGCACTAAAAACTTGTAGTATATGTGATATTGTAGTTATATGATGGTTACTCAGGACTTAAAATATGTTTACATGCACTTAAAAGTCATTGAAAGGAAAACAGTTCAAAAAATATTCTTTCAGAATTCTCAGACTACTTTAGACCTCAGGGATTTTTGGACTCCAATTTTAGAAACACTTGTATCTGGCCATTAGAAGATATTTTGGTGTAATATATAATAATATGCAAAAGTCCAAATGATACAAGTGAGCAAAACATCAGTTTATAGGAATGATATATTTTATATAATTACAACTATGTAAAGAAATAAAACCTGAATAGAGGAGAGGAAAAGACTGGAAAGAAATATACCAAAAGAATAACAGTGGTTATTTTGGGGTGATGGAAATAAGATTAGAAATTTTTTCTTATTCCTACTTATCTAAATTTTCTATAGTGATTGTGTATTACTTTTATAATAAACAGTAACCAATTAAAGAAGAATTTTCAAAAATAATTTATAAATATCTGGTAGTTCCACAGGCTAACTAAATAGCTACTTTCATTTTTTGCTTCTTGATCTTCCGGCAGAGACAAATATACCCTAATTGTAATTATAGTTTGCTTACTGCTTTGTATTTTATTATTTGTTATTAATGCTAATGTAAACATTTTTCACCTCTATATAGCGATAGTGAAATGTCTTAAGTGTCTGGATTTTTTTAGGTATTTATTATTTTCTCTGTGTGTTTATTTATTTTTTCCTTTTTTAAAGGAGTATAGTCATGGCCAACAGCAAAAAACTCAAGAGGGGGAACTGAAAATTAGTGCTGTGTTTTCGGTCAGTGGCAGTCCTCTTGGTAAGAAATGAAACTGAATACATGAATTGTATTTATTCTGACCAATATGAATGAGAGGAAGTCTCTATTTGTAATTAATAAACTAGACAGCTCTCTCAGCCTATTTAGAATGCCTTTACATAGTATATTGCATAATTACTGTTGTGTTTTAAGACTAGCTCTAGAAGAGAAGAAAGAATGCATAGTTGAAATTCATGGTAAAAAGTAAAACATTTTTTTCTTTCAATTTTTTTTTTTTTTTTTTTTAAAGCTCCACAGTTGACTACTGGCTTTCAGCCTTCACAGGCATCATCTGGCATGAATAAAATGCTTCCTTCAGTTCCAGCCACAGCTGTTCGAGTTTCCTGTTCTGGTTGTAAAAAAATCCTCCAGAAGGGGCAAACTGCTTATCAGAGGAAAGGGTCTACTCAGCTATTCTGCTCTACACTGTGCCTCACTGGATATACAGTTCCACCTGCCCGCCCACCTCCTCCTCTCACAAAGAAAACTTGTTCAAGTTGCTCAAAGTATAGCAGAATTCTAAATTATCTTTTTTTGTTTTCCTTTCTTTTAACATACTTTTTCTTAGCCTGTGTATTATGTTTAGTTTTCTGCATTTCTGTGTTTTTATGAGAGATACCACGTTATTTAGTCCTGACATGTTGCTGTTTTCAGTCTCTCTGGGTGTTAGATGCTCAGTTTTCTTTTAGGCTTTCAATAATGTGCCTTTTATATATTAAGTGTTTTGGAAACCAATTCTTCTATCCTTGTTTGTTGAGATGCTTTACATTACAAAAAGTACACACTTATGGGTATTGTATTACCACAATATTTTATCTTGTTACTGTAAGCAATCAATTTTTAAATCCAACAAATATTTAAAGTTATGATTCCTACTGTGTAATTGGAATTTATTTAATTTTTCTTCTTAACTTTAAATGGCTTCCAATATATATTTTTATTTTCTCAATATCTGAACTATCTCAGAGAGTCCATTGCAATGTTTAAGAACAGAAAAGGAGAATGACCTTATGACCTTAATAAGGTCATCCTGAAATGTATGAGGAATATGAACTAATCTTGTAAGGAGATTGTTAGAAACTGTTTAAATGAGTAAGTTTGAAAAAGAGGAATTATGGTTATTCTGAAACACATTGGCTTTTCTCTTTTATCAGACTACTGAAACTATGGTTTATGACTTTATGTATTTGTGTTTATAGTTCATCACATGCTTGCTGCCCTTTCTCTGTCTGGAAAGGGAAAAAGATACTCCCTTTTCTGGTTTAGTTGGATAAGAGATTTTAAAAAGAAATTTGGATACGATTAGAAGTTTTTCTGGATGTTAGTTATTTAAACATCCCTTTATACTTCATTTCTTTGAAACAATTGAAAGGGTAAATTTTGGTTATATTTGAGGTAGTAAAATAGCAGTTTAAATTATATACCATATATTCGTATATGCAAGTGTAGATTGGACTTTAGTTTCCTTTGGAAGTTCTGTTTTTCTTTTAGGATTGCTGCTATTTAAAGCAACAGGAAAAACTTCTGTAACTTTTTGTTTTGGGATTATCTTTCAAGTTATAACATGTTCTTTTGAACAGCTTCAGTAGTATCAAATTTTTATCTCCTGAGGGTCTGTTTAATGTTTGCATGTGGCTAACAGTGATTTAGAACTATATGTATTGAGGGGCCGGCCCAGTGGCGCACTGCGATAGTGCGCCGCTTGGGAAGCGTGGCGGCGCTCCCGCCCGAGGGTTCGAATCCCACATACAGACCGGTTCCCGCTCACTGGCTGAGCGAGGCGCAGGAGCAACACCGAGGGTTGCGATCCCGTTGCCGGTCCCGGTCCGGTACGGGGGCGACACTGAGGGTTGTGATCCGTTGCCGGACACGGAAAAAGACAAAAAAAAAAAAAGAACTATATGTATTGATTAGAAGGTAGATTAGGATATTTCATATCAACTTTTTAAATTAATTTAAAAAAAATTTTGTTCAAAAATGAAATTTGATTAAATAATAAGATTTGTGGTTTTGTGACATAATTCCTTTTTGAAGAAATTTCCAAAAAGGACTTTTAAAAAATATATCCAGCAATATCTCTAACAATGTTGTCATTGTTAGAATAAGTAGGATCGATCTCAAGGCTATTTTATGTGATAGATTTTGGCTTCCTTTCCTTTTTATTTATTTCATTAGAGCATAATCCATGAGGGGTGGTTGGCAAAATGTTGGTCGAAGAATACAAAATTTCAATTAGGTAGGAGGGATAAGTTAAAGAGATCTATTGTACAATATGGTGACTATAGTTAATATTATTGTATTCTTGGGAAATGCTAAAAGAGTGAATATAAAGTGTTTTCACCACAAAAATTTATAACTATGTGAGGTAATGCATATGTTAATTAGCTAGATTTAGTCATTCTGCAATATATATAAATTTTAAAACATCATGTTGTGCATAGTAATTACATACAATTTTTCTCTGTCACTGTAAAAACAAACATAAGCTATGCGGGTAGGAGCTTTGCCTGTTGTGTCCACTGCTGTATACCCAGCATGGTAGGTGCTTAATAAATATTTGTTGAATGAGAGAATTAATGACCCTAACTTAAAAAAAAAGAAAAGAAATCCACTCATTATTTTACAGCTACAATTTATGTGTTAAAACTATTAACTATCAGCCACATGATGTTTTTGGAAGTTTAATTTAGTAAAGAGACATTATATATACTGTTTGAATTATAAAATATGCTTGTAAAAGTGAGTACTTAGGTGTATGCCGTGTCTCTAATTTTTATATTCCAGTATATTCATCACTAGATTCTAAGATTGTCAGTCTGAAAATTATAATTTTTATGGTTTTTGATTTCTGTTTTACCATGAAATAATTTCACATAATAACTTCCTTTTATGCTTCTCTATTCTTACTTTGGGGATCAGTGATTTCTAAAATTTTAGTGATATTTCTTCTTTATAATAATAGTCATAGATATTCTTTCCAAGGTTTATTGTTTATTTTTAAAATAATCGTAGAAAACTTGTGAGTTTTAAAAATGTGTGCCCTCGTTCTGATTTTTGTTTTTGTTTTTTTTCAATTCTTGTCCATACCTGTTACTTTTTTCAACTAAATTTATCATGTCCCTTTGGCCGCTGGTGTTTGCATTGTGACAGGTCATTTTTATGTACATCGTGATCTTAATGTAATTCAATTGTTCTTTAAGATTATTTTTCTCTTGTCACTTTTGGTTTCATTCATTATCCAAAAAATTTTTCATTTTTTTAACCGGTTATGTCTTGACTCTTAACTGTCCTAACTCTTCATTCACTTACTCTTTTACCCTTCTTCATTTCTTACTCTCTTCCATTTGCCCTTTTCTGTTCTTTCAGGTACTCCTTACCTGCTTATCTCCTCAACCTTTTGTTTTTCATTTTCTGTCTTACTCACTTTTCCCCCCTTCTCATTTTACATAATAATTTTTTCTCTTGTTGCTTCACTCCTCAACCACGGATAAATCTTGTTTTTCGTTGTACTACATTTTACTTCCTGAACTACTCTTTCATCTCCTATTCAGCACTTATAAATTACCTTCCCCCTTTTATCCCATCTTATCTACACAGTCATTACAACACTTTGGTACAGTCTGGTTTATCTGATTGTAAAATTGCTTAAATATAAGGAAATTAAATTCAAAGAAGCTAAAAGATTTGCTCAGTGTCACATAGCTGGTTAATTTTGGCATATGCATTGTTTCCCTACATAGTCTATATGGTCAAACAGGTTTAATTTGTAAATAATCTCTATAAAAAGGGTTTCATTTTAATTCGAATAGGCAGAGATAGAAAAGATTTCTTTCTTGATAGCTACTGCTGTTTTTATAAGCCAGTAGAAATGTAGCATCAGCACTTAAGGTTAAAAACTCATGAGCTGTTCAGAATAACAATTTTATTTTTCCTTATCTTTTGTTGACCATGTCTCTTAGCCTCTTGAATTTAACCTAAACTCTGACAATATTTTAGTTAATCATCATTTAATTTTTATCTAACTTATATTTAAAAAATCTATCTTAAATCCTACAGAAAAGGGACAATTTGGAGGATAATTTCGTTAATACTGTTAGGAAAATCAGACTCTGTATAATGATATTCAAAGAAGTAACTATTTCTAGATTGTCTGTACCATTTCTGAATTTTTGCTAACTGGAATGAGATTGTTTCTTCTCATTCTGGCATAAGATATAATCTATTGCTACAATAAGATGTAATGTAATTGAACTGTAAGCATATTGAGAAATACCTACTTTTATATTTTCATTGTCTTGATCCATGCTGCTCCCAACCCTTATCAATCCTTAACCTTCTAGAAAACTCCTATTTAAGGTCCAGCTAAAATGGCACCTTATTTTGAGTAGCCTTTCATGTCACATATGGTCTCATACAACTGTTTCTTCATTTTTATATTTCTATATTACATCATACATATCTTTTCAAAATTGTTTATACTGCCATCAATTTTAAGAATGCTTCTGTTACAGTATTTTATAAATTGTCTATTTGTCCCAGTAACTCTGAGCTCCTTGAGTGCATGCATGGACTGTATCTTGACTCAGGGTTTAGCTAGTGTCTGGCTCAATAAAACTGGGTAAATACTCCTCTGTGAAGTACATTGAAACCTAATTTGAAAAATAGCTGTAAAGGCAAAAAGGAAAAAAACGCAGAAAGCAAAGCAGTCTAGAACTGCTAATATAGAAGAGGACAAGTATGGACTTATGTATTATATTATAGTACAATATTAGATGTTCCTTATGATGATTTCCCATTATTTTTATTATTACCTTTTATCGAAGCAGAGATATTTTTAATCTTTCCAAAAAAAAAAGTATTCTGTTAGCGTAAACTTTTTAATATGCAGGATGTTATGCGAATGAATATAGCACAGCATATTAACTATTATGTAAGTGTATTCTTATGGGGGAGAGACACTGTTTAGAAAATTTCACCAATTAGAAAAGTGGTTTTTAAAATGGTTTACACTTAAACTATCTAGTAAACTACTATAGAAAGTGGTTTGGTGGTGTGATGAAGGTCGGTGTGGTGGGGAACCTTAATCATTAGGTTACAAATTAAATTATTCAAATATGGGAAATTCAGATATTATATAACCATGCTAGAATATACACTGTAATTCAAAATGTATGTTGACTTTTAAAAGATGCTGGTTTTTAAGAATTTCGAATGTAATGTTATTTTAAAAGTATATTTTGGAAATGGGCAGACAGTTCTAAAGAAGAAAATAAAATTTCCTGTAATCCCACCTATAGAGATAATGAATGCTAACCATTTGATGTATTTCCTTTTAATCTTGAAACATAATGCATATATTAGTTTTCACAACAGTTCTATGAAGTAGATGGTATATCAGTTCCATTTTATAGGAAAAAACTTAAGTATCAAAACAATTTATGTTTATGCAAGAAAACCCAGTTTTTTAAATTCCAGTGCACTTTCCCTACATTATAATCACCTCTTTTTTATTTGGTAATTTTAGCTCACTACAAGAAAAAGAATGAATTATACTGTGGCTTATTTTATCTTTGTTATCATTTTTAGAGACATTTTAAATCCGAAGGATGTGATCAGTGCCCAGTTTGAAAATACCACCACTAGTAAAGATTTTTGCAGTCAGTCATGTTTGTCAACATATGAATTGAAAAAAAAACCTATTGTTACCATAAATACAAATAGTATTTCAACCAAATGCAGCATGTGTCAGAAGAATGCTGTTGTAAGTTATCTTTTTATTTTATTGGAGGGAGATCTAATGTTTGTGCTCAAAGAATAGCTTTTGATGTCTCTGCTTATTGTTTGCATGTTGTTTTTAAATTCCTAGATTCGACATGAAGTGAATTACCAGAATGTGGTACATAAACTTTGCAGTGATGCCTGCTTCTCTAAGTTCCGCTCTGCTAACAACCTCACAATGAACTGTTGTGAGAACTGTGGGGGTTATTGTTACAGTGGCTCTGGACAGTGTCACATGCTTCAGATAGAGGGGCAGTCTAAAAAGTTTTGTAGTTCAGCGTGTGTCACAGCATACAAGCAGGTACCTGACCATATTTAATCTTAATGTCTTTGTTTATTTCAGGGAGGCCTAAATTTTTTGTTGGAAATTATTCACAAAAACATTGTTAAAAGTATTAAGATCTTATTGTTTGCTTAACTAAAATTATTACATATAAATAGTATTTGTTGAATGAATGTGTGTTAAATACTCTGTTATAGAGTTCAGTAAGTAGCAGTTTCTGTTTATGCGTTTGAATATATGTTTTTAGGATATGGGTTTGTTTTTTTTTTTCCCCTTTTTGTCTTTTTTCGTGACCGGCAACGGGATCGCAACCCTCGGTGTCACGCCCGCACCATGCTCAGCCAGTGAGCGGACCGGTCTCTATATGGGATCCAAACCCTCAGCGGGAGCGCCGCCGCACTCCCAAGCGCCGCACTCAACTGAGTGCGCCACTGGGCTGGCCCAGGATATGGTTTTTAAGTTTCAAATGTGTTTCATGTTTTTGAACAATATTATGAAGATACAGAAAAGCACAAAGAAGAAATATAATGCATCTCCCAGAGATAACCAGTCCTATCCTTTTGTTGTATAGCATTCTGATCTTTGAAATGCATTTTATTAGTCAGTTTTGGGGGGTTTTTTTTGGGGGGGGGAAGGGTGGCAGCTGGCTGGTACAGAGAATGGAACCCTTAGCTTTGGTGTTATCAAATACACTTTGATTTGCACGTATACTTTTTATTTGACAAGGAAAGGTCTAAGTTACATATGTATTCTTGAAATTGAATCCACATAATTAAAATTGCAAACCAGAAAATCAAAATCTTACCATTAATTGTAATGTAAAAGGTTTTTCCTTTTCTTCAGGAAATAGGAAAATTTGGATGTGGGATATATGTATATTACTTTTTGAATTGATGAGGTTTTCACAGGATGAACTGGATGAGCTCTGTATGACGAATGTCATGCAGTTTTTGTGTGTATTAGATTTATATTTTGTTAGTAAATTTTAATCAAATATTAGTTTTAGATTGATAAACCTAAAGGAATAGTAAGTACTTTTACATTTTTACTTTTACAGTGGCTCTCCCTGTTTCAGTGCATTTGTTGATCATTTTCTTAGGATGGTGAATTTTTACACAGTCCACCAAAATGGTGAATTTAATAATGTCTATTGGGAAATTTTTTGTAAATTGTTCATAAAACTTTGCAGTGATTTTGGAATTTTAAACATTATGCAATATAAAAGTTTATTTCTTGTCAGAGTACAGCATATTAAAAGTGCTTAGCTTTACAATTTATCCCTTATTTTTGCTCTCACAGGGAAAAAAAAATCCTATTTCATCATGTGTATTATCTTTGTCCAAAAGATTGTTCTTTTCCTGATATTGTATCAGGTACCAAAAGTTACTTGGCTCCTGTCCATTGAAAGATGATTGATATTCCATAAGAGAAGGAGAAATAGGATGAAACATCTTAATTTTAAATTTACTCATTACTTTTAATTTAATCAATACTAGCTATTAAATTTCTCATATATTAACATGTCCTGTGCTAGAGAAAGAACTGGAATTTAGAAAGAAGGCAGATCTAGATTTTATTCCCAGTCTTTCTGTTATAACACAGTTTTACCTTGGCGAAAGCAGTTAAACTACTTGCACCCTAGTTTTCTTATCTAAAAATGGCTATAATACCACCTGTGTCACCGGAATGTTTTTAGCATTATATAAAGAAGGAGAGAGCATCTAGTATAGAATTTGGCCCATTATATGTGGTCATTTCTATTTCCTTTCTTCTTTATGTATAATTCATTCAACAAACATTAGATGTAATTCCTGATTTGAGGAGCTACGTCTCCTAGGGGAGATAAACATATAAATGAATAAATAGAGATGCTATGATGGGGTGCAGTGGGCCACAGAGGAAGCATAGTCAGCTGTACCTTGTAGGACAAGATGAGCCTATCAGCAAAAGCTTCACAGAGATAACTCTTCTTCATTTTCTTTTTTTTTCCCCCCACAGAGATAACTCTTGACCTAAGTCTAAAGTTGGTTTTACAGTTCTGATGGGGAAGAAAGGGAAATGGACTTGGGCTCACTTTAACATGTCTCTATTTTAATTTATCCATTAAGAGGGAAGAGAGATCTTAAGCTCTCCTAATTGGTGCTGGACATAACTTATAAGTTATCCTGAATATGTGGCATGTTAATAGTATTATTTGCTGCTGAATGCCTCATAGAGTGAAGACTTAAGATAACAGATTCTTTGATTGTTTATATTTTGACACTTGTGATATCCAAGGTTTGCTCCCACTTTACTGCTTACAGAGTACTTTGTTGTTATTAGTGGTAGAATATCTGACAATGAGTTTTCTAACAAATTTATTAATTTCCTTAAATTCACATTTTATTGCTATATATAGCATCTTTGGGAGGGTTCTTCCAGTTTTTAGGATAGTATAGTATAAAAACTCACTGTTATGTTATTGTTTAAAATAATGTTTTTAAAACTATGGTTACAGCCAATTAATAGATCCTGAAGTTAATTACTAGGTTACAACAGCATTATTTTTTAGTAAAATTGAATAGAATAGAAAATGTTAAAGTGCATTACATGTTATCATGATATATATTGCTCTGTGAAGTTTTTTTTCAGTTTTATATGTGTACATATAAAATACACAAATGCAAAACTTCAGAAGTATGTGTGTCACTGAGTCACTTTGTAAAATTTATTTCTTACAAAGGATTGTAATACTAAAAGTTTGAAAACCACTGATAAAAAATATTTCAACAGATCAAGTATAAACATTTCAAAGAGTTATACTTTTACTAGGAATTTGGTAAAAATGAATGTTGTTTTATTCTCTTAATAGAAATCAGCCAAAATTACCCCATGTGCGCTTTGCAAATCATTGAGATCCTCAGCAGAAATGATTGAAAATTCCAATAGCTTGGGGAAGACAGAGCTTTTCTGTTCTGTTAATTGCTTATCTGCTTACAGAGTTAAAATGGTTACTTCTGCAGGTAATATTGATTTCATAAACTATAAAATGTAATCGTTGAAAAAATTATGGTTACTTTGTTTTTATGTTACAGATTTTTGTCCAAATTTAGTTGATTTTTAAGGCAAATTAAAAATATTTTAGGTTTTTATTGTAAAATATCGCCTGTTACCTTGATTGCTTATTTACTTGCTTGCCTATTTATGCGTTTTCCCATTACTAAAAGAATTTCATTGGCTTCTTTCACGTATTTTCTTTATCCACATTTGATTTATTTCAAGATTCATTTATTTTGTAGTTTCAGGGTAGACTATGACTACTTTAAACTAAAAGAAAAATTTTTAATGTTTAGTTAGTTTTTGTCCATATGTGACATGATTGAGTTTAGTTCTTGCAACTTAACCTGGCCCTTGAATTTTTGTATATTGTATAATATTTAATTTTTTCATACATTTGTGTACATTTGTATATATTACTCATTAGTTTTTATTTTGATTTGCTAAGGTGTACAAGTTCAGTGTAACAGTTGTAAAACCTCAGCAATCCCTCAGTATCACCTAGCCATGTCAGATGGAAGTATACGCAACTTCTGCAGCTACAGTTGTGTGGTAGCTTTCCAGGTATGGCTTCAGGAATCTTCCTCTTCTTCAGTCAGTGAGTTTATAAGTAATATAAACTTATTAGGTGTTTGCTAGTGCCTGGATTGCTTACGTTTCTATCTAAAGTCCAATTAAGCTTGGATTCTTAGTTCATCCTGTATTTGGAGGCTTGTCCTTTAATTGCCTTCTATAAAATAAAATGGTGCTCCTATCACCCAGATTAGCTACTGGGAAAATATTATTTTTGAAGAACATTATTAGTTAAATTATTTTATTTTTTGGACATAAATGAGACTCCCCCCCATTCACTCATAAGCTTCTCAAAGGCAGGGATTTTTGCCTGTTCACAGATGTATCTTACGTGCCTATAACTGTGCTTGGCATATGTAGGCACACAATACTTATTTCTTTGAACAATAATTAAATTGACCTTTTGTTGTTGTTTTTTCAGAATTTGTTCAACAAACCAACTGGAATGAATTCTTCAGTAGTGCCCTTGTCTCAGGGCCAAGTAATTGTAAGCATCCCCCCAGGTTCAACAGTGTCAGCAGGAGGAGGTAACACCTCTGCTGTTTCTCCCACCTCTATCAGCAGCTCTGCTGCAGCTGGTCTTCAGCGTCTTGCTGCCCAATCCCAGCATGTTGGGTTTGCCCGAAGTGTTGTGAAACTCAAATGTCAACACTGTAACCGTCTTTTTGCCACAAAACCAGAACTTCTTGACTATAAGGTAAAGTGTAGGTTTATGATAAGGGTTTAAGTATAAATGAGCCTGTTTGTAAAATTATTTTTAGCTTTTCATCTCTCAGAATTCCACCATTTGATTTCAAAGTTAGAGGGATAAGGATTTCCATAAGGTAAACCACATGTTTAATTAGTATGTAATGATTATTTCTTTGCAGGGTAAAATGTTTCAGTTCTGTGGCAAGAATTGTTCTGATGAATATAAGAAAATAAATAACTTAAAGGCAATGTGTGAATATTGTAAAATTGAGAAAATTGTAAAGGAGACTGTGCGATTCTCAGGTGCTGACAAGTCATTCTGTAGTGAAGGTAAAGTCAGAAGTTTATCTTACCTAGTGAATGTGTTGGTCATCTTAAAAGTAGTTGATGATTTGAGCTATTACTATGTAAGTTTATCTTTTATCCTTTATGTATAATGCCAAAGTCTTTGTGATATGTTTATACACAATTCACTCTTTTTGTGATCTAGTCCTTCACATTATATAGATATTAAAATGAAGTGAAAGATCCTCAAAGTATAATGCAGAAGATGGTGATTTTAAAGGCATTTAATATTATTAGGTTGATGGGGAACTCAAAGATCTTTTAGTTCTTGCACTTATTTCTAAATGGAACTCCTTAAATTATAGTAGCATCCCAAGTTTGTATTTGTATTGTTTTAAGCATACCTTTATGTTTCTGAATTTAAATGGTCTGAATATACAAATCAATATGAAGTAGATTGTTTTCTTTATTTAGGTTACTATTTTATATGTTAAGCATGTTTTGTTTTACTCTAAAACTGCACAAGGTTAGCCTTCTAGACCAATGGCTTTCAAATCTTTTGACAACACAAAAGAAGGAGATACATTTTACATCGTGGCCCAGTATATTTTCACACACCCAACTAAAACAAAAGTTTCACGAAACAAAACTTACTCTATCTGATACAGTGTAATATTTTTTATGCTATCCTATCCTGTCTTATTCCATTTTCTTCAAATATGCTTTTTTTTTTAAAGATGACTGGTAAGGGGATCTTAACCCTTGACTTGGTGTTATCAGCACCACACTCTTCTGAGTGAGCCACGGGCCGGCCCCAAATATGCTATTTTTGATCCTGTGATTTGATCTCTTGACTTGCTAATTGATCATGATCCAAGAAAAACTTTGTCCTAGGCCATTTAAATTAAAGATGTGGATAATTAATATTTCTCCGTAATGTTAATTTTATCTTTCCTGATTTTAGGTTGCAAGTTGCTTTATAAACATGATTTGGCAAAATGCTGGGGAAATCATTGTAAAATGTGCAGTTATTGTTTACAGACATCTCCCAAATTGGTACAGAATAATTTGGGGGGAAAGGTGGAAGAGTTCTGTTGTGAAGAATGCATGTCCAAATATACCGTTTTGTTCTATCAGGTAAATATTATTCACATTTTCAGGTTTTTCAAGTTAGGCATTATTCCGTTTTAAAATTTCATATAGCATGGAGGGCAATTTAATGACTTAAAAGTTTTAAGTATTAAATGTTTTGTGTTCTCTATTGATTAATATAAGGCTTCTAGGACGACTTTAATGTTACTAAAGTTTTTGTTGTTGTTTTTTTTTAATTTCCTGTGCAAGACATCAATCTTAAGACATTAAAACATTAAGTAAATTTGTCTTCTGGGGCCGGCCCGGTGGCGCACTGGATAGTGCGCCGCTTGGGAAGTGTGGCGGCGCTCCCGCCCGAGGGTTCGGATCCCACATACAGACCGGTTCCCGCTCACTGGCTGAGCGAGGCGCGGGAGCAACACCGAGGGTTGCGATCCCGTTGCCGGTCCCCGGTCCGGTACGGGGGCAACACTGAGGGTTGCGATCCGTTGCCGGACACGGAAAAAGACAAAAGACAAGAAAAAAAAAATTTGTCTTCTGAAGTCTTTGTGGAAGTGAGACCTTATTTTCATTTTACTTCACTTTGTTTTTTAATTTCTATTTATTGGGGTCTCTATAATATTACATTGTTTTTTTAAAAAAATTGTTTAATATAAAATTATTGATTGATAAATATTTGCCATTTTAGGAGAGTCAGCATTCAGTTTGATGGTCTAAATTCTAAGTTTAATTTCCTCATTTGTTATGTGTGTCCTGTTTTTATTGTCAGACCACACATAATTTGTTTCTTACTCATTTACTGTCTTCTGTTTCTTTTTCAGATGGCCAAGTGTGATGGATGTAAGCGACAGGGTAAACTGAATGAGTCCTTGAAATGGCGGGGGGAAATGAAACATTTTTGTAACCTACTTTGTATCTTGATGTTCTGTAATCAGCAAAGTGTGTGTGACCCACCTTCACAAAACAGTGCAGGTAAAAGTAAATTTAAGTGATGAATAGAGTCTTTGATCAATGCCAGGAACTAACTACTGTTCTACAGATTAGGAACTGTAAATAGTTGTTATTAATTTCATGAAATATAGATTTTATTGTATTCCAGTAGCACTAACACTTAGATCCTTTTTTTATTGAATACCTTAGATTAAGCCAGGTAAAAATGAGGGTTTTTTTTTTTTAGCTTTTCTGAGCATATTGAATCAAATAAATAATGTAAGTACTTTATGGGAAAGGATGACACTTAATATTTTGTAATTGGTTATATATATATACCTTGGCTTCCTTAAAAAAGGATTTGAGATTACTTATACCAACGGACATAAAGTCTAAAGCACATGACCTTTTAAATATAACATATGCTTGGTTAGACCATTTAATCTTAGAAACTATGGTTTAAAAACAAACAAAACTAGTACTATCCAAAAAGAGAAGTTTAAGTACGGTCTCTTTATAAATAGAACCAAGAACTACAAGAGCCTACTCCAGAAATTTAGAAAGCCATTTCCACATGAAGGCAAGAATTAAGAAACACGTTAGGCTTCAATGTTCATTAAATCTACTGTGGTCTTCTTTGGTATTGTGCCTTTGGGGATTTTTGTTGTTGGTTTTTAAGTGAGACTTATTTGTTGCATTTTTATATAAAGATAAAGTACCTGGAAGACTTTCAAGTTTCCCTAACTAAAACGTAGAAAACGAAAAACCTAGTTAATTCTGAAATGATTTTTTGCTCTAGCAGAATATACTCAAACCTGAAAGCATTGTTTAACCTCCTTGAGCTGTTCGTTTCTAAGTACGTACGTATAAATTACATGAAGCTTCTTTATTTTGTTTATTTTAATCAGGAAGTATTTCCATGGTTCAGGCTGCTTCAGTAGGGCCCCCATCTCTGAGAAAAGATTCTACTCCAGTTATAGCTAATGTAGTATCATTAGCAAGTGCTCCTGCTGCTCAGCCTACAGTGAATTCTAACAGTGTCTTGCAAGGTATGGCTTGATTTGAAAACATTTATCTATCCTTTTTGAGTTGAATACAGTGGTTCTCTGCCTTTTTTCCATCAGTGATCATTTTCATATGTTTGACATATTCACATGAGGAATGGTGGCTCACTGTGGGCTTCTAGGGTATTGAGTAGTGTTTTCATAAGTTCCATATCGCTTTTTCTCATCTTACTCTTTAGAACTGCTAGGCTCTTCCACTGAATTAAATTGAGATAACACTTGTTCTTCCCATGAGACTTTGTGTTTCTGGACCAATAATCAGCTTTTAATGTTAATGTTTAAGTATTTGTAAGAGATCCTAAATTTATTTTTTAATTTCTATCAAGGTGCAGTTCCAACAGTCACAGCGAAAATCATTGGGGATGTAAGTTATATTATTTTTATTGGTATTGTCACTGTATGTATTTTCCATTTTTATGTAGTGTGAATATGTCAGAGCTAATTTGCCCTCTTTTATACTTTATTATATAAAATAAATTTGACAAGTTCATCTAATCTTTCTTCAGGATTGGGATTTTTTAGTTATATAGTGAGGTCTTTTATGTACTTTAATTTCTTTGAATGCTTTCTATCTTTATATAGTTACTGAGGTTCTTAAAAATTATATCGAATTAAAGTAAATTGTTTAGAATTCAAGCATTGAAGACTTTTTGGATGTTTTGTAATGTACTCAGATTGTAAATAAAATATTTTTGAATTGTGGTTTATTCTTGCCCTCCCCCTGCCCCACTCAATGCAGATTGTGCTGTAACTATTCCTTTCATTATTCATGAATATTTTTTGCTTTGTCTCTTAAAAGAAGAAAATAATGAGGAAAAACTTATGACTGGAACAATAGCATTTCTAAAGTGTTTCGTGGTCTTTGGGATAACTTTATTCAAGTTACTTAAATGGTCTTAAGTGATTCTCTTATTCCTGGTTATCTTGAAACTAAGTCCTTTAAGACTTAATTCAATCAAGAAGTAATAGTTCTTTCTTTAACCTCAGCCAACATTGTTATTGATCAATAATTTGTTAAGATAGAAATATCACTTCTGTTTACCAAGAAAAATGCTCATTAGATACATTCAGAGTCAATATATAGTTATTAAAATACTCTGATTACTATTAATATTTTAGGAATATTGTATTTCTCACACATTTAGTTGAATATTTATATGCTGTGTCTTCCATGTAATTCCAATATGGTATTTCTTCTAAAATGATAGTATTTCTTGTAATTAATAAGATTTTGAATATCTCTTTGGTTTCTGATTTATTTTTTTCTAGGCAAGTACACAGACAGATGCCCTGAAACTGCCACCTTCCCAACCTCCAAGGCTTTTGAAAAACAAAGCTTTATTGTGTAAGCCTATCACACAAACTAAAGCCACCTCTTGCAAACCACATACCCAAAACAAAGAATGCCAGACAGGTATGTTTCTTGGGCTTGCTTTATTTTATTTTTTTAAGGGAAAGGAATGTGCGATCTGCTTACATTGAGTACCCACTGTTTCCTAGGTGATGTGTTTGCTTGCTTATATATATTGCCCAATTTAGTTCTCACAGCATACCTGTGAGTTACGTAGTTTCCCCATCTGAGGCTTAAGTCAGGTCAAAGAGAAGGAAATTCATTGATGATACCATACTGTGAACACTTCATTTAATTCTCTTATTAATGACAGAGTAATGTTACGGAACAAGCATAAGCTTTAGAATTATATAGAAAGGCTCTTAAGATGCACTGTTATTTTCCAGAGTGCCCTTAGGTTTGAACTACTCCACACTCTGTTTCAGGTAAAGTCATGGGGCTGGCCAGTTAGCTTAGTTGGTTAGAGTGCAGCCTTTTAACACCAACGTCATTGGATCGAATCCCCGTACTGGCCAGCCACCCAAGAAAAACAAAAATAAAGTTGGTTTCTTTGGGAAGAGCTTCAGACATTTGTTTTCTTATGAACTGCCTTTCCCCCTAGGCAAAAATCTCTGAGCCACTTCTCTGGATGCTGGGCAAGGTGGTAGCCTCTGGTCTTCTTGTCTTGCCTTTCCTGGCATGGAACTTCTGCCCTACAAATGAACTGGGGTGAGGGTGATCAGGACCCCACTATTCTCTTCTGCTGTTCCTGGGATAGAGTCTGCATCTTATAGAACTGGGTGGAAGGGAGCCCCTGCCCTTTTGGCCACACTCCCCAGAATTTTACCTCTTTAACTTGGAGTAGGAGGGTATGAGAAATGCTGGTGGCCTACACCTCTTGGTGAGACATGGTATCCCTTGATTGGGACCTAAGGGGAGAGATCCTGGCCACAGCTACCCAGAGTAGTTTCTGTCAAGTTGGGTTGAGCTGAGCTTGGGGAATGGAGCATGTTGTGGCTGCTCATACTCTCACTGTTCTTACCTAATTTTAATAGATTTTCTTGAATAAATGTTTCTTCATTTCCTGTATGTCCTTAAGACAATTTCCCAAGAATTTAAATGGTTATGTTTTAATATTTTTCACCCACTTTGTTTGTTTCACTAGGGTCTTTGTAGTTCTTCATGCTGCCATTGAAAATCTCATGATTTTTAAACTACAAAGGAATTCTAGATTTCTAGATCTGCAAGATTGTTTTGTAAGCCAGTGTTTCTCAAACATTAACATGCACATGAATTATCAGGGAATCTTATTAAATAGATTCTTATGAAGTGGGGCCTGAGATTTTGCGTTTCCTATAAGCTTCCAGGTATAATCAGTGCTGCTGGTCTGTGGACCACACCAAAATAGCAAGGCCGTAGATGACTTAGTTCTTTCTTTTTATTGTATGAGTAGTGATTTATTTAGTATTATGTATCAGACATCTCTAATCAAGTAACTTTTTTTTTATGTTTACTGCAGTATGGTAAAGTTGATCCCATATTTTCCCACCTCTAACCCTAGTCAAATTGTTAGCTTTTCTTTTCTTATCACTAGCATTACCTTTCTCGTACCTTAATGATGTAACAATTATCTATCATATTTTCTGACACATAGAAAGGACTCTATAGAAACAGAAGCGCCTTGACTTAGTTGGGGTTACATCCTGATAAACCCATTGTAAGTTGAAAATACCGTAAGTTGAAAATGCATTACACCTAATCCATCAAACATCGTAGCTTAGCTTAGCCTACCGTAAACATGTTCCGAACACTTATATTAGCTTACAGTTGGGCAAAATAATCTAACACAAAACCTATTTTATAATAAAGTGTTGAATATCTCATGTAATTTATAGAATACCATGCAGTACTGAAGTATGTTTTCAACTGAATGTGTATTGCTTTTGTACCACTGTAAAGTCAAAAAATCGTAAGTTAAACCGTTAAGTCAGGTTCTGTCTTTGTTGAATAATGGAATGGGTTCTTTATCTTTTCTACCTTTTCTCAAGTTTTTTTCAAGTTCTGTTTTATCTTTTTCATACTTAGAACATCTGTAGTGTATATTTATTCTTTTTTTTATGTTTTGTAACTACCCTAGAACAGACCCTCATCATCTTAGCTCTGCATATTATAATTGCCTCCTACTTTAACAGTTGATATATTTTTTATTCCATGCTAAAATGGCTGCCAATTTAATCTTTTAAATGACATCTTTATCACTTTGCTGTGTGCTAACAAATCTGTAGTAGTTCCCCACTGTTTACTACGAGTGATTGAAAAATGTGCATTATAGCCTCAGAAAAATGGCTCTTCTACCTACTCAGGCTCCTCTTTAGCATTTTCTACTTATTTATGTTAATACTTTTCATACCTCTCTTTAAGACCACTGTTTCCGTCCTTTCCACTCATTCACCCAAATTATATACTGCAATCATTTTGTCCTCATATCTTTGATATTTAATATGTTGCCCACTTTTTGTTAGTGCTATTATATTCAAGCCTTTTTTTTTTGCTACTTTAGTTATTTCTCTTTTGTAAGAATGCCTACTATTATAGATTACACTTATTTCAAACCATAAATCTTCATAAGCTTTTTTTTTGAAATGTTATTAAAACGTTTCTAACCCTCTTTGTTTTTTGTACATCTTGCTTTTGTTTTTCTTTTCCTTTAGAAGACACTCCAAGTCAGCCCCAAATTATTGTGGTGCCAGTTCCCATACCAGTGTTTGTGCCCATACCTCTTCATCTTTATACTCAGTATACGCCAGTCCCGTTTGGAATTCCAGTTCCAGTGAGTAATCATTTAGAGATTAAGGTTAATTTAGTATGCATTTTCCTCAATTAAGGTTTTATAGCTCTGAAAAGGAACTTTTCACTTGGTAAAATACACCTGATTCTGGTTGACTGTTTTCATATTACTTAATATGGAATATATTAAAAGATTACTTTTATTTGTACCCTGCCTTCTCAGAAAAGGTTCTGGTATACCCTTTTTTATTCTTTTCTTTGTTCTTTGTTTCATTATTTTTTGTTGATATAGCTTTTTAAAAAAAGTTATGTATACAAGAAGACCAGTCAAATAGAAAAGATCAGAAACTGTGTGTGTTAGAATCCTGGATTCTAGCGAGGGTAAAAAGAATAATTCTGTGATTTACATGATTCTTTTTATTAAAGAAAAATGTATTTTATCTTTTTATTGGAAAAAAATTGGAATTGAATTCTTAAGGAAAATGGTTCTGTGAAAATGTTAAGCAAGAAATATAAGCAAAAACAACAAAAACAAAATGAAAGTTTGTTATGGAATTATTCATTTAGAGGAGTCAGAGACATGTTTTGCTGAGTGACCAGAAATGCACTTACTGAATTTTTATTTAAATGGCTCTAGTCCTATTTAAAAAAACTAGCAAGACTATTTTAATTGTCAGTGATGAAAATATCATAAATTTATTTTTTATTTTAATACTTAAATCATCTCACAAATAATAGTTTTGACGACAAACCTATTGTCTAAGAAACTCTTCAGTCTATTTTTGGTCTTTCAGATGCCTATCCCCATGCTTGTTCCATCTTCAATGGATAATGAAGATAAAGTCACTGAGAGTATTGAAGACATTAAGGAAAAGCTTCCTACACATCCATTTGAAGCTGATCTCCTTGAGATGGCAGAAATGATTGCAGAAGATGAAGAGAAGGAAAAGACTCTATCCCAGGGAGGTTAGTATAATCTTTAAAAGTAAAGAAAGAAAAAACACATCTGCAAATTTTCAGTTAATTCAGATAATTTTTAAAGTATCAGACATTCAAAGTGTTTCTAAAAAGTGTGCTTAAATACCAAGCCTGTGGGTTCATTAAACTTGTTGGAACCTGTGAAAGTTCTTATCCTTTTTATGAAGGAAAACTAAGTGTTGGTGTTCATTACTATTATTAGTTGTTAATGATTCCAGAAAAATAACCTATAAATCAAGGTGGATTTTTAAAATAATTTTCTGGTTTTATCCCTGTAGTCAAAGCCATGTAAGAATTCCTGTTGTAGGCGGGCTGGTTAGCCCAATTGGTTAGAGCATGGTGTTATAACACCAAAGTCATAGGTTCAGATCCCTGTATGGCCAGCCACTAAAAAAAATAATAGAATTCCTGTTGTATAGTAACTGGCATGCTGGTAGATGGTACCTTAAGATAGAAAATATTTGGCTCAAAATAACCTGTAGATAAATCTCATTTTATTAGTGTGGAATAACGATAATATCAATAGGTCATATTTATGTGTGCTTACTATACTCTAAGCATTGTCTTAAGTGCCTTATGTGCATTGCGTCATTTAATCTTCACAACGCTGTAAGGGAGGGTATTATTTACTTCATATTTCACATGTAGAAAATAGGATATTAGACTTGCCCTGGTTATGCAGTCAGGAAGTGATGGAACCAGAACTTGAATCCGGGTTTGACTCCAAAGCATATGATATCAACCGGAACTCACTGATACAATTCCAGAAAGGTTTGTAGCCTTCATTAGCACCTCTTTGATTTTGGATATAGGTAGGAAGAGATAGGGAAAATGGTATTTAAGGTATGTAGGTGAATTTTTGCAAAGGCCTTTTTATGTATCACTGATGAGCCAGGAAATTTCTCTTTTCTTGACAGTTTTTTCTTTTCAGTGGTGGATTTTAGAAAGCTAACCACTGGTTTTTGATTTTGCATAATAAATGCTAGATGATTTCTGAACACTGTAGCATTTGGAAAAAAGTACTATCAACTTTTCTGTTGTTTTGCCTGTTAAGTTTTTATCATATACATTCTGAGAGATTAGTAAAAAGCTTATTTGTTATTATCCCAATGTTTCTGGTGTCAGTTTGCTCTTTCGTGTATAATCTCATTAATTCTGACTCATTTGTATATGGAGTTTAAGTCTTAGAATATTGTCCCTATGCTTGATCTTCTAACATGTGATATAATATTTAGTTTGGAAGTTCAAACAATTCCTGTTAATGAAACTCATTTTAAGTTGGCTTCTCTGTTTACATCATTATTTAATATTTATCAAGTGTTTCCTCTGTACAAATGTTGTGACTTTGCCTTTGCCTACAATTGAGTCAGACAGAAGAACTTTCAAAACTAAGTTTTATGACTGACATTTGTAATCACAAGTAGTATAAATAGTTTGGAAACACAGAAGAGGGAGAAATGAATTTAAATGAGGTGGTCTGGCTAATTTCTCTTTGATTTTAGGGGGAAAAAGCAGTTTTTGGGGGTGAATTTAAAAAGAAAGTTGGTGAGGTTTTCTTTTCTTTTTCTTTTAATACTTTGAATCCTTGAGCTCTAACACTAAGGTCAGGGGGTATGGATCCCTGGACCAGCCAGCTGCCAAAAAAAAAAAGTGCTTGAATCCTTGAGCCTTCCTACTTCTAAGGTATTTTATAATTGTTAGAACTGTGCCATGTGCTGACTGCTCATGTAACTTATATTTTAAGTCTACTGGCTTTTCAATGCAGTGGTAAAGATTGTTATATTTGGGGGGTAATTTAAAGCAGATTTATGGATCTTTGAATAAATAATTTTTTGTGTATATCATAGTAGTAACAAAAAGGATTTCAAATAGCATGAGAGTGTAAAATCAAAAGTAAAGGTCTCCCTCATCGTGATTTCTTTCATACTGCTACCTAGAAGTATAAATATTGTTAATAGTGTTTAACTGCATTTACCACTGATGCCTCATTATACTAATGAATTGTTCTTTCTGCATATGAAGTCTCTTTATTTAGAACTTCATAGTATGAATATAGTGCAGTCATTTCATTTGAGATACAGTTTGCTTTGTGTGTACATATGACTTGTTTTATTATGTGCTTTTTTTCTTTAGGATCTCAAACTTCTGAACAGGAACTCTTTCTAGACACCAAGATATTTGAAAAAGGTTTGTAGTTATGAATATATTTTGGCTCTGTTAGTAATAGAAACCTGTAAAGTGTTAGTACTCTTGGATTTAATATTTGCAATTTTAGCTGTTTGTAAGGGGCATCATCTGTCTGTGATGTGTGCTAATTTGTAATAGAATAATAAAAGCTACCTCAGATATTTGTTTTAAGGATTGTGATAATGCTTTAAAGTGCCTTCCAAGAATATGAATCCAGTTCTGTGAGGCTGATGAACAAGTTACTTCATTTTTGAGTGTACCTAGGTAATTGTCAACCATATCTCAGTTTTTGGTATTCAGGGGTTCAGGAAGGTTTCTGAGTATGTCAAGAGACTATTTTATTTTGAGGACTTTTTTGTTTTCTGTATATTTCAGACCAAGGAAGTACATATAGTGGTGATCTTGAATCAGAGGCAGTATCTACTCCACATAGCTGGGAGGAAGAGCTGAATCATTATGCCTTAAAGTCAAATGCTGTGCAAGAAGCTGATTCAGAATTAAAGCAGTTCTCAAAAGGAGAAACCGAACAGGATCTGGAAGCAGATTTTCCATCAGGTTTGTGCACTGTAATCTGTCTACCAAAAGTCCTTTATTTTACAAGATTGGTACAACTCCAAATTGCCACTATTAAGCATTATAATGTGTAGAGATAATAATCTAGGGCACAAATAGTCCCTGCCTGTTGATGTTAATTTGGTTTTTGTTGTTCTTACAGTGATTAATTTGGTTTAAAAAAAATTTTTTTTACCTTTCCCACAGTAACCATATAAGAGGTTTTCTTGATCGTTATTAATGTTTTCATTTAACCTGTATCCTTTGTTTTTCTTAAGTATGTAAGTGAAATTTTTGTCACATGCAAAATAATGAATATAGTGATGATTATCTGATATTTCTTTCCCCTAAGTCTTTTTCTGTTAATTATTTACCTCACATTGTGCCTTCTGCTGATTATTATAGAATCCTTTGACCCACTTAATAAAGGACAGGGAATCCAGGCACGTTCCCGACCAAGACGACGACACAGAGATGGCTTCCCCCAGCCCAGACGAAGAGTAAGCAGCAGCTTCATTTTTCTTGAGTTTATTTCATTCTTTCAGTGTTATTAGTTCCTACCGTTTACAAAACTCTAATAGCCAGAGTCAGGTAGTTCCATATGTTACTTGGCAACCTCATTTATTTTTCTTTTTAAAAATTTAATTTAATGTAATTTTATCAATATACAATGTAGTTGATTTTCATATCCCTTTACCGATTTCCCCTCCCTGTCCCCCCTCCCACCTATCAACATCATATCTGTTCACTTGTCTTAACAAGTTCAAGGCAACCTCATTTTTTTTTCTTTTTAAAAATTTAATTTAATGTAATTTTATCAATATACAATGTAGTTGATTTTCATATCCCTTTACCGATTTCCCCTCCCCGTCCCCCCTCCCACCTATCAACATCATATCTGTTCACTTGTCTTAATAAGTTCAAGGCAACCTCATTTTTTGGGGCTTTTGTTTTTGTTTCTTGAAGTCAAGAACCATGTCTTTTATTTTGCATTTCTTTCAGCAGAGACTTTTTCTATTATTTCTATAATTGAGGGTTTTGTTTTGTTTCACTTTTTTTTTTTGTCTTTTGTCTTTTTCCATGTCCGGCAACGGATCGCAACCCTCAGTGTTGCCCCCACACCGGACCGGGGACCGGCAACGGGACTGCAACCCTCGGTGTCGCTCCCGCGCCTCGCTCAGCCAGTGAGCGGCCGGTCTGTATGTGGGATCCGAACCCTCGGGCGGGAGCGCAGCCGCGCTTCCCAAGCGGCGCACTTATCCAGTGTGCCACCGGGCAGGCCCGAGTCGCAACCCTCAGTGTTGCCCCCACACCGGACCGGGGACCGGCAACGGGACTGCAACCCTCGGTGTCGCTCCCGCGCCTCGCTCAGCCAGTGAGCGGCCGGTCTGTATGTGGGATCCGAACCCTCGGGCGGGAGCGCAGCCGCGCTTCCCAAGCGGCGCACTTATCCAGTGCGCCACCGGGCCGGCCCCTTGTTTCACTTTAGAAAGCTTTTTATAATCCTTTTTTATATTCTTTTTCTCTTTTTAAAAGTCTCTGAATTTATCTTTTTTTTACATCTTATAATCCTGAGGTTCACTGTATCATACAGTGTAATAGTGAAGTTCATATAGGCTATTTTCATGTTGAGAGGTCTTTCCCATGCCCATTTTAAAAGAATAATAGCCTTTTTTTTTAAATTAGCTCTATTGAATTATATGAAAAAAATGTATGAGTTCTAAGTGTACGATTTGATGGGCTTTGACAAACAGTATGTAACTACCACCACAAATTCAAACAATTCCATTTACCAAAAAGTTCCTGTATGACCTTTTGCAGTCAGCCTCATCTCCAGCTGCTGACAACTACCCATCTGCTATGCAGATCGATGCAAAATGGTACCATTTTGTCATTTCTAAAATTTCACATAAATGTAATCATATAATATATGTAGCCTTCTGTGTCTAAGTTCTTTCAGTTAGCATAATGCTTGTTGAGATTCATCCATGTTGTTTCATGTCTCAGTAGTTCATCCTTTTTTATTTCTGAGTAGCATTTCATTGTATGGAAAAACCACAATTTGTTCAGCTGTTTAACAGGTGATGGAAATTTGGGTTGTTTCCAGTTTTGGTTACTTTGAATAAAACTGTTATGAACATTATAAGTCTTTGTGTGAATGTATGTTTTCATTTCTCTTGAGGAAAAATATCTAGGAATGAGATTGCTAGGTTTTATGGTATAAGTATATTTAACTTTATAAGAAAGCTGCCAGACTGTTTTCCAAGGTGGATGTACCATTTTACATTCCCATCAGCAATATATGAGAGTTCCATCTGCTCCGTGACTTTGCTAACACTTGGTATTGTTGATTTTTAATTTTAACCATTCCAATGAATGTGTAGAGGTATTTCATTGTGATTTTGATTTGTGTTTCCCTAATGACTAATCATGTTGAGCAAATATGTATATTTGCCATTCATGTATCTTCTGATAAAACATCTATTCAAATCTTTTGTGCATTTACAAATTTTTTAAATTGGGATTGTTGTTATCTTCCTGAGTTGTAAGTATTCTTTATTATGGATGTTATCGCTTCATCAAATAAGAGTTTTCCTTCTATTCTATGACTTCCTTTTTTATTTTCTTAATGTTGAATAGAAGATTTTATATATTACTGGATTTGGTTTTCTAGTATTTTGTTAAAGTTTTGAGGAAGTCCAGTTTATCAATTTTTATTATTTTATGGATCAAGCTTCTTAATATCCCATCTAAAAATTTTTACCTAACTTATGATACCTAAGATATTCTTTTATGTTTTCTTCTAGAAGTTTTTTGTAGTTTTAGGTTTTACATCTGTGATCCACTCTGAGGGAATTTTTATGAGATGAGGCAAGGATCGAGGTTCATTTTTTTGCATGTGGATATCCAGTTGTTTCAGCACCACTCTTGGAAAAGACTGTCCTTTCTCCATTGAATTATATTGACACCTTTGTTAAGAGCCAACTGACTATTTATGTGTGGGCCTATTTCTGAAATTCTCCATTGTGTCCTATTGATTTGTATGTCTGTTTTTATATCTTTACCAATTGTCTTGATTACTGTAACTTTACAATGAGTCTTGAAGTCAGAAATGTAAGTCCTCTAATTTTGTTCTTCTTTTTGTAAATTGTCATGTGCATGTCCATTTAAATGTTAGAATTAACTTGTCAATTTCTACAAAAAAGTCTGCTGAAATTTTGATTGGGGCTGTCCTGAATCCATAGATCAGCAAATTGATATCTTAGCAATTTTGAGTCATCTAATCTGTGAACATGGTATTATCCCCCTTTATTTAGGTAATCTTTAACTTATCTCAATGTTGGATGTTTCACTTTACAAGGCTCCTTAGATTCTGTTAAATTTATTTTGTAAGTATTTAAATTTTTTGATTATTTTTAAATTTCCTTTTTTTTTTTTTTTTTTTTAAAAAAAGATGACCGGTAAGGGGATCTCAACCCTTGGCTTGGTGTTGTCCGCACCACGCTCAGCCAGTGAGCTAACCGGCCATCCCTATATAGGATCCGAACCCATGGCCTTGGTGTTATCAGCACCGCACTCTACTGAGTGAGCCACGGGCCGGCCCTTTAAATTTCATTTTTCAGTGTTCCTTATTAGTATATAGAAATACATATGATTTTTGTACATTTACTTTGTGTCCTGTGACTTTGCTCAACTAAAATCTTTGGGATTTTCTTCCTTTTTCTTGCTTAATTGAAATAGCTAAGATCTTCAGTACAATGTTGAATATGAGTAGTGAGAGCAGACCTTTTTGCCTTTTTACCAATTTCAGGGCAAAAGGGTACACAGTCTTGGAGCATTAAGTATTATGTGGTTACCTGTAGATTTCTCATAGACAGCTTCTTTCAGGTTGAGGAAGTTCCTTTCTACCACTCATTTGCTGAAAGTTTTTGTCATGATGAGGTATTGAACTTTAGCAGGCAGATTTCTTGCATCTTTTGAGATGATTATCTGGTTTTCCTCTTTTAAGTCTGTTAAAATGGTGTGAGATACATTGATTTTTCAAATGATTAATCTTGCATTCCTGAGATTAACCCTACTTTTTTACGACGTATTCTTTTTATATATTGCTGGATTCAGTTCACTAATATTTTGTTAAAAGTTTTCAGTGTCTCTGTTCAAGAAGGATATTCTGTAGTTTTCTTGTAATGACTTTGTTTGGTTTTGATGCCAGGGTAATGGTGACATCATAAAGTGAGTCAGTGTTTTCTTCTGTGTTCTGAAATAAAATTTGTATACTTTAACTGGGATATAATTGAACAGTGAAGCCAACAGGGTTTGGCGTTTTTTTTTTTTTTTTTTTGTGGGAAGGTTTTAAACTATAAATTCAATTTCTGTGACTATTCTGGTTATTTTTCTTCTAGAGTAAGCTTTGTTAGTTTGTGTCTTTCAAGAAATCTGTTTATTTCATCTAAGTTGTCAGGTTTATTGGCATAATGATATTCACAGTATTCCCTTATCTTAATGTCTGCAGGATCGGGTACTGGTAATTTGTATTTTTTGTCCTTTTTCCCCCCTGATTATTTTAGCTAGAGATATACCATATTTAAATTGAAACATATTGATTGTACATATTTATGGGGTGCAGAGTTATATTTGAATACATGTTCCAGTGTACAATGATCAAATCAGGGTGCTTAGCAAATTCATCGTTGCAAAAATTTATATTATGATGATAACATTTGAGCTCCTCTCTTCCAGCCATTAGAGAACATACAATAAATTATTGTTTGGTATAGATGCCTAGTACTACTGTACAATAGTAGAATTTATTTTTCCTATCCAGCTATAACCTTTCCTCCTCTCCTTCCCAGCATCTAGTAACCACAATGTCTTTTTTTGTTTTTTCATTTATTTTTACTCTTATTTTTATTACTTCCTTCCTCATTCCTGGTTTGTTTTAATTTGGTCTTCTTTTTCTAGTTTTTTAAGATAGAAGCTTAGATTATGGATTTTACACTTTTTTTTCAGTTTTCATAGAAGCATTTTAATACTATAGATATCCCTCTAAGCATTGCTTTAGCTCTGTCACAGAAATTTTGTTATGTTTTGTTTTTGTTTTTATTTAATTTCAAAATATTTTCTATGCATTTGTGGTTTCTCATTTGACCCATAAGTGTGCTGTTTAATTTGCAATTTTGGAGGATTTTTTTGGACACCTCTCCATTATTTGTTTCTAGTTTAATTGCATTGTGGTTAGAGAATTTATTGAGGCTTGTTTTATAACCCACAATATGACCTATTCATGTGTTCCATTAGATAGACTTGAGTGGTAATAACAGTTATTCATATCTCATTGGGTGCATGGGTCCAGTATCTAGAACATAGTAAGTATCCAAATATTAGTAATTATTACAATGTACATTTAAATTTTTTCTTTCTTTCTGAAATGGATTGGATTAATCTCTAAAGCCCTTTCCAGTTCTAAGAACTCTAAATCTTTAGGATATAAAACTGAATTCTGTATTTTATAAATTTATGCCCTTTCCAGCTTTGAGAACCCTGATTTTTAAAGGTCCAAAACTAAATTTTATATTCTGTAAATTTTTGGAATTCTTACAGGGACGGAAGAAGTCTATAGTGGCTGTGGAGCCCAGGAGTCTTATTCAAGGAGCCTTTCAAGGGTGCTCAGTGTCCGGGATGACACTGAAATACATGTATGGGGTAAATGCATGGAAGAACTGGGTTCAGTGGAAAAATGCCAAGGAAGAGCAGGTGGATCTAAAATGTGGAGGTAAAAACACAGAATGGATTTGTCTTCATTTCGGTAGGAGGAAATACAGATTTAAAGTCATAAATCTACTCAAAAGGGATAAATCCTAGGTTAGAAACCCAAAAAAACTTTAGTTTTGGCTTAATTTTTCCCCCATTTTTATTTAAACTTCTCGTTGTTTTTTTTTTTCTTGCCAGGAGTTGAACATGCCTCGTCTAGCCCATGTTCTGACCCCTTAGGAAGTGCTCAAGACCATGCTCTCTCTCAAGAATCCTCAGAACCAGGCTGTAGAGGTAAAACTTGTTTCTCTCCATTTGGTATTAATTATTTATAATATTGTCAATTTAAATTTGTAAATTGAATGTTTAAAATTATTTAAAACTGAAGTCTTAAGGTTAGAAAGAGAAATTAATGTCCTATACTCAGTTTTAAAGAGGTTTTTAGAAAGATAAGGTGTGTCTTCTGATCGTGAGTTTATTATGCAAATATAACAATTTTGTTTTATTTTCTAACAGTGTGCAAGTGGCTCAGAATATGTCTTCTTGAGCCCTATGTCTGTATGGTAATCCATATGGAACCCACTGTGGAGTTTTTTTAGAAAATACATGGAAGAGCCTTGCTTCTTCTGTAGGAATTTTTCCTAAAGATGAGATCTGTATAATTAACGATGTTTGTGGGTTTCACACAGGATATTCAGAAGCAAAATAAAGCAACAATCTGTAATTTTTAGGCCCACATTAGTTTTCATTTTGCACTGATTTTGACATCCTATTCTAAATTTTTGTTTTTAATTTATCTTTTGCTTTTTTATTATCTGTGTTTTATGAGATACTTGTACAATCTTTATGGAATAAGATGGGGCAGGAACGGATGAGTTTGCCCCTGTAAGTAGATTTCCAGCTATACCTTCTCTGTTATACCAGGATGATTACATGCACTCTTGGCTTCACCTCACTTCACCTTGTTGGATTTTGGGAACATGTAACACTCATTACTGGAGCAGCTAGTTGCTGCTCTGGTCTGTGACTGATTCACTGAGTTCCTACAGATCAAGTGTAATCTCTGTGCTCTGAGGTTATATAAATATACTCCTGTTATGGAGGTGTATTAGGTCCTCAACCACCCACTTTTAACCACAGCACTCTTTGTTTTAAAAAAGGATGGGGCGCCAGCCCGTGGCTCACTTGGGAGAATGTGGTGCTGATAACACCAAGGCCACGGGTTTGGATCACTATATAGGGATGGCTGGTTAGCTTGCTTGGGAGAGTGTGGTGCTGACAACACCAAGTCAAGGGTTAAGATCCCCTTACTGGTCATCTTTTAAAAAATAAAAATAAAAATAAAAAAGAATGGGCAGGCTGGCCGGTTAGCTCAGTTGGTTAGAATGCAGTGTTGGTTCCAATCCCCATACCAGCCAGCTGCCAAAAAAAATTAAAAAGAAATAAAAAAGAAAGGACAATAGTAAGAGTGGAGGGACAATACCTGTTTAAATGACTAAGCCCTAAATGCAATAGCCATAGGGGATGCCTATTGATTTCTGCTACTCGCTCAACCAGAAAATATTTACTGAATATCTATTATGTGTTGGGCATGGTGCCTCGGTATTGGGTGATAAGGTCAAATGTGGTCTTTGCCCTCATGAGCCACTACTTGCCTTATGCAAAACCAGTTTAGGAGAGCCTGAGTGTATCTTTGGAAACATGCAATGTTGTCTAAATACAGAAGAGCAATGACTAAAAAGGGTGTTTTAATTCTAACCCCATAATGTAGATCAACATATTGTAGTAGGATTTCTACAAATCAAATTGGACAGTTCTCCTGCTCAAAATTAATTTGGTTCTTTGTTGCCTTCAAAATCTTCATATATGAGGCTGATTATTACTTGCCCCCACGTACTTTTCTTGTTTTTCTCCTGTACATCTAAGTCCCCTGAACCTTTTCACCTTTGTGGCCTAGCAAATGGAATACTCTATTCCAGCATTTTCAAGGGCCTGAGGATGTTATATGTTATTTCAAGTATTCTATATTCAAATAAATCTAAGTTAAAGAAAGTTAAACAGCATTATTTTTGCAGATACTCTCAGAGCCTTTACTGTACCAATAGGCACTGTAAATTCTTCAGAGACAGACACAGTATCTTGCATTTTCCAAATTTATTAGATGCTAGAAACTCAATTTTCTCCAGCTCTCACATGAGTCTAGTGTTTTATGGAATATACTTTGGGAAATTTTTTTGTATCCTCAGATTTCAATTCTTTACCTATCTTTAACTTCTTCACCTTTTAATGTTCTAGCACCAGTGTCACATCATCCAGAATCTAACCTGACTCTTCCCTATTAGATGTCCTCATTTGCTTTTGTAGAACCCTTTATAAACAAAACCTGTGTCATAGCACTTATTGTACCATACACACTGCATTGTCTTTATTTCCCTAACTAAAAAAGCCTTGAGATCAGGATTTGTCTTTAATCCATGTATCCGTCAGTCTGTACCACAATGAGTGGGGCACAGTAATATTCAGTGTTAATTCAGTAAATCAAGTAATGTCACTACGTTTGTGATAAGTTAATGTTTCAGTAGTTTTCTGCCTTTCCACAGTCCGCTCTATCAAGCTGAAGGAAGATATTCTGTCTTGCACTTTTGCTGAGTTGAGTTTGGGCTTATGCCAGTTTATCCAAGAGGTGCGGAGACCAAATGGTGAAAAATATGATCCAGACAGTATCTTATACTTGTGCCTTGGAATTCAGCAGGTATCAAATTAAATAATTGTTATAAAAATGATTGCATTTTTAATATTTCTGAGAGAATTTATGAATTAAGCAGAAAAATTATAATGTGTATTGATTGTTTATTATTGTTCCAATACTGTCTTCTTGATGAAGCACTGACCCTAGTTAAAAGTCTTGATCATTGGGCCGGCCCAGTGGCGCACAGCTACAGTGCGCGGCTTGGGAGCGCGGTGGCGGCGCTCCTGCCGAGGGTTCGGATCCCACATTCAGACCGGCTGCTCACTGGCTGAGCGAGGTGCGGGCGCAACACCGAGGGTTGTGATCCCGTTGCCGGTCCCGGTCTGGTATGGGCGCGACACTGAGGGTTGTGATCCGTTGCCGGTCATGAAAAAAAGACAAAAAGGAAAAAAAAAAAAGTCTTGATCATAAAGTTTTTTGTAAGCTAAATTGAAACTGTTAGTAGAATAACACAAATCGGAGATGGTACATTTCATAGATAAATAGGGGGAAAAGGCCATAAGTAGTAACGTAGATGACTGTGTGTTATATATATGAGGGTACTTCAAAAAGTTTGTTGAAAAATAAAATTAAAAGATAATATGAATCTTTCCATCGACTTTTTGAAATACCCTTGTATATATCATGTAGTTTCATTAAAATTTTTAAAATGCAAATTAAAATAATAGATATTCCATTGTTATCACCTTAGCAAGCTCAAAAAATAACACTCGTTAAGAGTTTTCCTACTTTGCTGGTGGTAATTAGTGTATACTTTCTAGAAAGCAGTTTGGGTATATGTTTCAGTTTTTGCGAGTCCATTCAAAGCTAATACTCTGAAATTCAGACATCATCACAAGATTGGATGTGGCCTCAGTGTTCATCAAAGTGTGATGGTTAAGTAAGTTGTAGTACATTCATAAAGTTGTATATTTGTCACCAATAAAAATTGTTCACAAAGTGGCTTCTAGTAACATGTAAAAATATTAATACTGAAGCATTAAATGAACAAAATAAGAGTATAAATTATATGTATATCATTATATGTTAACATAGTGGTATAAATGCATAAATAAAATGAAATATACCAAAAATGTTTATAATGGTTATCATCTCTGGATGGTAGAACCCTGGATATTGTTGATTTTCTTTTCTACTCTGCCCAATTTTCTTCATTTTGTATGGGAGATGTTACTCTATTTTAGACATTTATTTGTTCTTAAAGCTTTGTTATTTAATTACAAAAGTAGTATGTGCTCAGTGTAACTGTTAAAACAGTGAAGATATATAGATAAAAATTTTCTCCCTCCATTCCCACTCCCTGAGGTAACCAGTGTTGCAGCAAGATGGTTGTCCTTCTGTTGCCTTCTTTTGTTTGATATCTTTATACATGTGTTTTAGCCTGTTTTGTGTTACTATAACAGAAGTACCTGAGACTGAGTAATTTATAAAGAAGAGAGGTTTATTTGGCTTACAATTCTGGGACAGCTGCATCTGGCATGGGCCTCAGGCTGCTTCTACTCATGGCGCAAAGTGGCAGGCAGCCAGGGGGTACAAGCAGATCACATGGCGAGAGGAAGCAAGAGAGAGAGGAGGTGCCAGGGTCTTTTTAAGCAACGAGGTGTCGTGGGAACTAATAGAGCAAGAACTCACTCATTAATCTCCCCTCCCCCAGGGAGAGCATTAATCCATTTATGAGGGATCTGCCACCATGACTCAGTGAGTTTCCAACACTGCCACATTGGAGATCAAATTTCCACATGAGTTTTGGAGGGGACAACACATCCAAACTCCATCAACATGTATATGGATGTTTGTTAATAGTTTTGGCTTTGCTTAGTTTAGCAAAATGGAGACCCATACCATACACATTTTTTGCAGTTTGCATTTCCCAATGAGGATATCCCTGCACATCAATATAAATCAAATTCCTTCCTTCAAAAAAATAATTCTGCATAATATTGCAGAGTATAAATGTACTAGTCATTTAGCCTTTCCTCTTTTAGATATTCAGGCTGTTTTTCTTTTTTTCCTTGCTCCCTCTCCCTCACTGTCCCCCTCTCCCCTAACGAGGGCATATTCAATTATGTCAAATAAATCAGGATTTAATTCATTAGTCAGACTTAATTTACTCTTTCTTTTCTATGAATGATATATTCTGGTTGAATACACCAATATTCATATTCCTTTTTTTTTTTTCTTTTGGATTAACCACCTGAGATCTTAAATATTTATTTTCTTGATAATTAAAATATAGTTGCAAATTTATATGTCAATGTAATAAATACTTTAGAACCCACACCTTATATATTTCTTTTTTTAATTTGTTAATTGATAAATTATATTTATGAGGTACAAAGTGATGTTGTGATTTGTAAATACAATGTGGAATAATTAAATCAAACTAACGTATCCATCACCTCAAATACTTTTTTATTGGCAGCTGGCCGGTATGGGGATCTGAACCCTTGACCTTGGTATAATAACACCGTGATTTAACTGAGTGAGCTAACCGGCCAGCCCAGATACTTATTTTTTGTGGTGAGAACATTTGAAATTTACTCTTAGCAGTTTTGCAATCTATAAAACACTGTTATTAACTATATTCACCATGCTGTGCAATAGATCTCAAAAAAACAAAAACAAAACAAAAAAACCCCCCAAAACTTAATTTTTCCTGTCTGAGACTTTGTATCCTTTGACCATTCTTGGGACAACCCCCAGCCTCTGGTAACTGCCATTCTACTCTGTTTCTATGAGTTTGATTGTTTTGGAGTCCACATATAGTAAGTGAGAACATGCGGTGTTTGTCTTTCTGTGCCTGGCTTATTTCACTTAGTGTAATGTTCTCCAATTCCATCCACGTTGTCTCAATGACAGAATTCCCTTCTTTTTTTAAGGCTGAGTAGTATTCTATTCTGTATTTATATCACATTTTCTTTATATGTTTGTCTGTTGGTAGACACTTAGATTGATTCCATAACTTGGCTATTGTGAATAGTGCTGCAGTGAACATGAAAGTGCAGACATCTCTTTGACAAACTGATTTCAAATCTTGTGGGTAAATACCCAGAAGTGGGATTGCTGGATCATATGGTATTTCCATATTTTTTTAAATTTAAAAAAATTTATTTTATTTTTCTTTCTGAAAGCCATCTCTGCACTATATTCAGTTTTTTGAGGAACCTCAATTCAGTTTTCCATAATGGCTGTACTAATCCACATTCCCACCAACAGTGGACAGGGCTTCCCTTTTGTTCACATCTTTGCTCTTAATAACAATGCTTCAATAAATATTTTATTTGCATATATTATGAACTGGTACTTATATTTCTAGGTTAAAGCATTTATGTATTTTTTTCAATATTAAGATATTTTCAGATTACTTTCTAAAATGGTTGTAATGATTTACAATGTTACCAGCAGTGTGTGTATAAGTACCAATTTCTTAAATCCTCTTTAACACTCCTTTTCAAAATTTTTATAGTTCTACAGGTTAAAAAAAAAGTTATCTTGTGTCTTCAATTTGCATTTTGGGGGCTGTCTGGTTAGCTACTCATAACTCACTCCTGCTGACAACTCCAAGGTCGAGGGTTCAGATCCCCATGTCAGCCAGCCACAAAAAAAAAAAAAAAAAAAAATTGCATTTTTCCAATTTTTGTGAAGTGGAATATCTTTTTTATGTTGTTAGTCATTTGGATTTTTCCTTTCTATCTATAGGATCTCTTTTATCTTGGGGATATTAACTCTAATATAAGTGAAATAAATTTTTCTAGTCTTATTTTTGGCCTTTCAGTTTTTATGTTATATTTTACTATTTAAAAGTTTTCCTTTTTATGTAGTCCAATATAGGTATATTTTCTTCTATATAAGCGCACTTCAAAGAGTTCATTAAAATGTTTGTATTATCTTTTTTTTTTTCTTTTCTTTTCTTCAGGCCCACCCAGGATATGTATTCTCTTTGTCTCTTTTTTTTTTAATTAAAAATTTTTTCTTTTTCATTGTATATGTTTATGGGGTACAGTTTGTTGTTTCAGTACGTGCATCCTTACAGTGTATAACGATCCAGTCAGAATAGTAAGCATATCTATCACCTAAACATTTATCATTTCTTTGTGACTATAACATTGAAGATCCTCTTCTCTGGCTATCTTGAAATATACAACACAGGCTATTGTCACCCTGCAGCACCAGAACTTATTCTTCTTATCTATCTGTAGTTTTGTACCAGGCTACCAACCTTGCCCCACCCCCCCAACCCTCCCTTTCTCTACCTCTGGTAACCACTGTTCTGCTCTCTTTTTCTCTTTTTTATTCTCTCTCTTTTTGGGGGGCGGCGGGGGTGGCGGCTGGCTAATATGCTGGTCCAGAGGGTTTTTTTTCTTTTTCTTTTTCTTAAAAAATATGGAACACTTCATGAATTTTCATGTCATTCTTGCTCAGGAGCCATACTAATCTCTGTATTGTTCCAATTTTAGCATGTGTGCTCCCAAGGCAAGCACTGTATTTATCTTCGAATTGTACTTTTCCACGAACTTTTTGAAATACCCTAGTTCCCGGGTTTTCTATATTACTCAGTATGTAACTATTTGAATACTTAAATTTAAATTCTAATACATTTCTAAAATACTTGGTTTTTTAGATTGCATCTTTAATACATCTGAAATCATTTCTGCACATGATGCAAGGATATTTCTGATGAAAAATATTTCTGATGGATAGTCAGTTATGCAGGCAGCATTCATTTCCCCACAGAATTGAAATGGCTTCTTTTTTATAAGTTCCCATTACATTTTTATTCAATTTCTAGGCTCTAAAAGATATTTTTTAAACTAAGAAATGAGAGGATTTTTATAGTTTCTTTCTACAAAAATTTATTGAATACCTACTATGTACTATGCATGCATTTTGTTAAGGTAGAATTTTGAACATGCCTCTGTTCTTCAAGTTTGTAATATATTACAAATTTTAAAAAATTTTTATCAATGCAGATGTCAAATAAGGTATTTTCTGGTGGTTATTAA